TTTTTTTTTATCTACAAGTTGAGCTATATATATATATATATATATATATATATATATATATATATATGTATTTGTCGGGGGAGAGTGCGTGAGAGAGAGAATAGAAGAAGGCTTGGTACAAAGTTGTAGATGTTTTCGTACGTAATATATATATATATATATATATATATATATATATATATATATATATATATTCCTTCTCGTGGAAATGGTTAGAAATTCAACATTTGACATGAAATCAAGACATTTTGACCGCAATCATATACTCCAAGTCGCACTGAAAAGGTAAGTGCTTCGTGGCATGTGACATGTGGACACCCAGAATAGACAGCCGACACACATCTCAATAGGACACACACGCGTGTACGTAAGTACTATGCCAACTCACCACACACGCACCTTTTCGCTCCATGACACGCTCACGTATGTACCGCCTCCCACTAAAATATCGTATTCGTGTGTTGCGTATTTCCCACTATCAGCGGTTCCATCCAACGTATAATATATATATATATATATATATATATAATGCTAATTTTTAAGGCTGACAGAATTTTCGTATTTCTTGTTGAAGCAACAGAATCTTCCTTCTTCCTCTGATATTTCAATCTCTCCATTAGCATAAATAACGCAGAAAATGTATGTTTGGAATACATGAAGTGTAAATTGGTTGCCTAAATGTACTCGTTAAGCAGTACTTTATCCAGACACACCTATTCATTTATATAGAGCAACAATTGGCAGAACGTTATGTACAAGAGTATCATGTATATCTCTGCTCCTCAGTGAATCTGTATCGATTTGGCGAAAATTACAGGTTGCAGTTAATAAATCGAGCAGTTACAGAGATTTAACTATTTGGGAAGTGTTCTAACAGAGGACGTAAAGTGTGCCATTGAGTTCTGAAGATGTATTGCGATGGCGAAAGATGCATTCTTAAAGCTAAGCAAAGTATTAAGACACAGGAAAACTTCGTTAGAAACACAGGAAATAGTAGTGATCTTTTACGTGATATATGTCCTCCTGCATGGCAGCGAATGCTGGTCAATCTCCTCAAAGATGAAGAAAAGGAATAAACAGAAATGTGGTTCTCCACATAAGTACTGAGTATACAATGGAGAGAACACCTGAGAAACATGAGGTTTTTGGAGAGAATAGAAACGAAGTGGAAACTTATACTGAACATCAGGAAGAAGCAGTTGAAATCTCTGGGGCACGTAATGAGGAAGGAGGGCTTGGAAAATCTGATACTCACAGGACAGATTGAGGGAAAAGGGACAGAGGAAAACAGCGCATACTTGATGATATCTGTCTATATCTCTGAGATGAGGTATTATGTACACTATTTACATTATTCGGACTATTGTCCTCATCTTTGTCGCCATATTTATTACAACGTTTCGGTCTTTCAGTATCTGTCTATATTTCTGAGATGAAGTATTATGTACACTATTTACATTATTCGGACTATTGTCCTCATCTTTGTCGCCATATTTATTACAACGTTTCGGTCTTTCAGTATCTGTCTATATTTCTGAGATGAGGTATTATGTACACTATTTACATTATTCGACTATTGTCCTCATCTTTGTCGCCATATTTATTACAACGTTTCGGTCTTTCAGTATCTGTCTATATTTCTGAGATGAGGTATTATGTACACTATTTACATTATTCGGACTATTGTCCTCATCTTTGTCGCCATATTTATTACAACGTTTCGGTCTTTCAGTATCTGTCTATATCTCTGAGATGAGGTATTATGTACACTATTTACATTATTCGGACTATTGACCTCATCTTTGTCACCATATTTATTACAACGTTTCGGTCTTTCAGTATCTGTCTATATTTCTGAGATGAGGTATTATGTACACTATTTACATTATTCGGACTATTGTCCTCATCTTTGTCGCCATATTTATTACAACGTTTCGGCCTTTCAGTATCTGTCTATATCTCTGAGATGAGGTATTATGTACACTATTTACATTATTCGGACTATTGTCCTCATCTTTGTCGCCATATTTATTACAACGTTTCGGCCTTTCAGTATCTGTCTATATCTCTGAGATGAGATATTATGTACAGTATTTACATTATTCGGACTATTGTCCTCATCTTTGTCGCCATATTTATTACAACGTTTCGGCCTTTCAGTATCTGTCTATATCTCTGAGATGAGGTATTATGTACACTATTTACATTATTCGGACTATTTTCCTCATCTTTGTCGCCATATTTATTACAACGTTTCGGCCTTTCTGTATCTGTCTATATCTCTGAGATGAGGTATTATGTACACTATTTACACTATTCGGACTATTCTCCTCATCTCTGTCATCATATTAAAGGATGTCAGTTGTCAATTATCTCCTGTTAATTCCACTCTCCAATTTTTCCACTGCCTTAACCAGGTATTGAACTCACACTCTTTGGGTCCTGTCACAGGATCTAACTAATGCCTTTATCCACTGTGCGATGTGTCCTTGAGGACATCTGTGCATGAATTTCTGGGTATTATAAACCTAATATCTTCAGCAACGATTTTTTTTTTATCAGTGATCATATTGCAATTTTTTGCAGATATCATTACATGTTTTTACCAGAGCTCGTATTGCACTTTTTATTGGTATTATCGCTTTTCTCTGGTTTCCATACTGTATTCATTTCTAGGCTTGGTCGGCTCAGGAGATATTTGAATTCACAGGAGATAACCGACAACTGACATCCATTAAACATGGCACGTGAAACTAGAACAGTCTACCCCAGTGAGCGAAATAAAGGGTTCAGTTCGACGTTCCAACAACCTGAATAAGGCCGGAGCGTACAACGGCCAAAACGTTGTAATAAATATGGCGACAAAGATGAGGACAATAGTCCGAATAATGTAAATGCGTTTGAGCAAATGGATGGCAGAACAGTGTCTGGGAGAAAGAGCAAAAAAAAAATCTTATTAAAAGCTACAAGGTACAAGATGATGTGGGGTGCCATGATCGCCTGTGTCCTGATGGGAGAAGGCACATAAAAGTCTCTCGAAATTTTAAGACAAAAATGATGTTAAGTCGGGCCGGGTAGTACCCGTTAACCATGCTAAGTCGCCTTACGAATACATTGTTCTCTTTCTTCTCTTTCTGTACGTTGTGTACGTGTAGTTATTTTCTAATTGGCGAATTAAATTAATTGTGAGTCCGGTTTTTAAAAAAATGGTAGGTGTGAAGAGTACTAGAGAAGTTGATAGAGCAAAAGAAATAAAAAACAAAACAAAAAAGCTCGCAACAAAGATCTACATATAAATTTAAAAAAAAGGAGCCATTTTAATTGCTTGTCGTTAATTAATTGGATTAGATTAATTAATTTGATCGACAGAAGATATGCCCTTGATTTTGGTTGGCTAGCGTGACCACTGAACGTCAGAAAGGAAACACGCACATGCGCAAAGAGGAGCGTAGACACCCGCACATGCGCAAAAAGGAGCGTCGCTATCCGCACATGCGTAGAATTGTACACAAACAGCATTTGGAATAAACACGGGCTTGTTTGTTTCCTTTCAGATAGGTACGATGTTCAATCCAAAATTATAATTTCACAATTCTACTTCCAAGAACGATAGAACTAATAAACAACGTAAATAATCAAATTATTAATAATAAACTTAGTTCAACAACAACAACAACAATAATAATAATAATAATAACAATGTTAATATTAATAATAATGATTGTGATAATAATATTAATAATAATGATGTTATGAATAATCAAGAGTGGTCTCCCTTTCTTTTGTTAATCTCCTCTTTGAGAGAGCTACTTCTGTTTACTGGGACTATAAAAGGACACTATACGCCAAACTTGCATTCTCAATTGAATAAAGCTTTCTTAAAACCTACACCTGAGTACTTTTGTCATTACAAATAGTAATAATAATAATAATAATAATAATAATAATAATGAAATTTAACGTAAATTTTTTAAAATGAATTTGATGTAATTATTTATTTCCTTTCTGATATTATTTTAATTTTTCTCGTAATTTTGTGTTTCTTTTCTTTTCTTTTATTTCTTTTTTTGGAATATATACTTGAAGGTAAATATAACTCACCGTAAATATAGCTCAACGTAAATAAACAACTGATTTTAATTTAAATCTATTTGACTATAAATCATAATTTATTTAAATTCTTACTTTCATTAAAAAAGAAAAAATATATATAATGAAAGGGATCTGGTGTAATTTTCAGTTGACAATATGAATACAATAGCTTTTACTAAATTCTTCTATTTGCTAAGGACATTTTGTTTGTTGTTAATAATTACTTTGTTTTCAATAAATTCATTTTGTTTTTGCGTGGAAAAAGTCCACATTGGACGAAACGCGTCGGCTAATAATACAGGTTTCCTATAGTCTTTTGCCTTTATACATATTCTTTTTCTGCAGGTTAAATCTGAGGAATATATATATATATATATATATATATATATATATATATATATATATATATATGTGTGTGTGTGTGTGTGTGTGTGTGTGTGTGTGTGTTATATGAACAGCAATCAATCGGCCCTGACGAGTGCGTCTAGCATGAAACAGAGTGTTGCCTGTTGTGCTGACTTCTATGTTAACTTTTTCATTTACACACGCTCTATCTCTTATATTGAGCACTTTATCCCATAAATATAGCACATCTGAAGACTATATTTCGGAGATCCCACGTTAAACAGGCCTTGTGCCACATGACGCTCTCGTGCGGAGGTGACTGAATATCCTCAGTAAGTTGGTGAGTCAGTCGATGTCGGACATTAAAGTATCAACCACCACAACTAGATTGCTGTGTCATTAACTATTATATCAAGTTCCTAACGTTTTGTACGTCGAACCTTTTTTAAGACTGATTTAGTGAAATACAAGCCACTGTGAAAACTACTCTACAACATACTCATAGTTTGTAATGCACTTACTATCTTAACTCAAGTTAGAGATTATTCCCTGTCGCTGTTTACAGGCAACGCAGTCGAATCAATTGTATAGTATTTGCGAAATAGATGAAATCCTAACAAAAAAATAACCCAGGATTGGCGGGAATGAAAGAGGATAATAAGACTAGTGAGAAAAAAAGGGTAATGAAAGAAAAAGAATAAGGAATTGATATCACGTGAGAAGAAGCTTTTAAAAAAGAACTTATGGTTGCTTATTTAAAACCATGTATAAGATCAAATATGGCAACTTCTTAGGGATTTACAAGAACGTTTATTTTGAAATGCTACAGAGGAATTGTCAGAGAAGTTTTTTTCTCCTTTTGGCCGGGATGGTTGCTGCAGATGTAGTATCTGTTCCGTGCTGGAGGCCTTGTCTTCTCCCTGGCGTTTCCCGCCACCGTTGTTACGTAGCGCTGGTACGACCGGCTATGACTAGTTTAGACGAGCTGTGACCAGCTTAAACAAGCTATGACCAGCTTAGACTAGGAGCTCGTGTGGAAACACACGGATTCACACGTTAAAAACCGACCTTGTGTCACAACCTGACTCAGTGGAGATCAAGTAAAACTCTAAATTTTATCACTTAATTTTGGGAATATTCAGACAATGAAATCATCGGTGTTAAAAAAAATGAAAAAAAAAAAAATAATTTAAAAAAATAAATAAATAAAAAAGTTCTTAC